AAAAAAAAAAAAAAAGTTCCTCTTGATTGAGTGATCTCTCTCTCAATCAACAAAAACTCATTTCATTGATCCTTGCTCCTTTTTTAATAGGAAACACAGAATAGGCAAAGAGAACCAAGAACTCTTCCTAGGCTTGCAAAAACCTGCTCCTGTTGAAGTTAATAAAAAGAGGGTGTAGAGTGTAATCACAAAAGTCATTAGAAGAGAAGTATTTAGCTGTCTCCCCAGTGTCCTCCCATTCTTTAGAAGAGTTTGAGCTTTTTTTTAATCGAAAAACCAGCTTCCTTCGAGAAAAATGAAGGAATACAAGAATGGCATACTAAACGAGGAGCCACCCGAAAACAAAGAATTCAATTCTTTGATTTTTATTCCTCCACATCTCCACAGGGAAGAAGTTTATGTCATCATCCAAGTTAGATTCTTTGTGTGGCTCATAGTTCCTAGTAGGATTGATTTCTCTAATTTGCTTCTTAATGGTTCATTTTTTTTACAAAGTAGCTCTGAGAACTGGAATCCTTAAATCCTTACCTTTTAAAGTGAGTAGTATCGGCTTTAATCGTCATTATATAGAATTTCGGGTAGAAATGGTTGTTAGATCTTGCAGTTCATTGAAAATATGGTTGCATTGACAGGTTGGGAGTGCTGCTGCCTTGTGGGGTGTTTTAGTAGAAAGAAACAGAAGGATTTCTTGATGTGAAAAGATTTAGAACTTCATTTAGCTAAATGCTTTCTTTCTTCTGTGTGCTTTCTTGTGCATTTCTGTAGTTTCATGAGTGAAGAGTTTTGTTCATTTTTATGGGAAACAAATGTTTTATAAAATGGAGGGAATAGAAGAGAGGAATGTTAATGGCTATCTGTAGCAAGCTTTGGGAGGTAGTTGTTGGATGCATAAGGGTTGGGGTGTAAACAATTCGCCTCGCCTCGACCGCCCGCCCAACAAAATTGACTATCGAACCAAAAATCTATAGCTGGTTATTTTTTTTATTCTTGAGTTTATGAAACCCATTCATTGTTTGTCGAGGTTAAATTTAGTCGAAGTAGTTGATCTTGCTTTTCTTAATTCAAAACCGAACATGAAATTTTAGTTTAATTTGGCTTAAATCTAAACATCTATGTTTGAACGTATTCAAAAGGACTCGCTTTCTAGATGATTATTAATTGATGATTTAGAATCAAGACTTCTATGGCAAGTCAATGAAAAGCAAAACTCATTGATATTGTACTTGTTAAATGGTATGAGTTTGAGCATAGGATACTCAAAGTATATCCATTTTATTTTTCTTACTCAGTAAAAATATATATTTCAGTTAAGTTTATGAAAATATATATTTTACTGTTACAAGTTCAATAATACATTGGACTTTTGGTTATTAACCTATGTTTAAACTAATTGACCTATGATCATGTGGCAATTATACGATCACCATTTTCGCTCCATTCCTTAATTTGAGAAATTGGGATCGGATTCGGTGACTCAAAATGAAGGAAGACTTTTGAAAGATTTTGAAGCCTTCGTTGACGTTGGCATTAAAATTTTCATTGTTTATTAAGCTTTTCTTTTTTTTTTATTGTCAGTCATCTTATTATTGTACTATTCCTTTGTTGTTTTTTTTGTTTCAATGATAAATCTATCTAACTAGCCACAGAACCATGAAACATCAGTGTACTAAATTTTTATTAATATATTATATTTCTATATGTTCAGTGGTTTTGATATGGACACAAGAGGTGAATGATATCTCATATGGACCTAATATTATTAATAAAAAAGGTTAACTTACTTTAAAAGGATTTAACACTTATTTATTAATTTAGATATTTTTAATGAATTTCTTGATCTTTATGTTCTTCCGAGATTATTCATCAACATCAATTTTTTTTCGATATTTTTATCAACATTTTCATAAAATTGAGACCTTAAAGTTTTCGTTGATTATCGAATTAAAATCTTGTGTGAGACAGCTCTTTAAGAATAGTCATGCTTCTGTTTGCTTTTGTACCCTCTTACGTCTTGAAATCTGAAATTTGTAGATCAATATGATAATTTTCTGTAATAAAACATACTCTTTACAAAATGAAATGAGCTTGTTCAATAAATAATTTCTTTACATTCCTTTTTTTTCTTTTTATCAATATGAAAAGGTTATGGAACCTTAGCCTATTTTATTTTATATTTGAATAGAGCAAATGTAACTAGATAAACTCGCTCTCCAAAATTTAAAACTAAAATCCAGATGATTTTAAAACAAACTTCTAAGAAACAT